TTTTTCATTGGACATTTGGTGTTATTGAACCAGATTTTTTCGGTGCTATTAATGTTCAAAATAATGAATCAATATTATTTATACCGCGTTTACCACCATCATATGTTGCTTGGATGGGTAAAATAAAAGAACCTGATGAATTTAAACAAATTTATCATGTTGATCACGTTTATTATGTTGATGAATTAGACAAAGTTTTTACTGAATTAGTTGGTAAATCAAAATTGATTCTTGTTTTAAATGGTTTAAATACGGATAGTGGAAGTGAATCTAAACCAGCACATTTTGATGGCATCGAAAAATTTCATGTTGATAAAACAACATTACATCCAATTATTACTGAATGTCGAGTTTCAAAAACCGATTTAGAATTAGATGTTTTAAGGTACACAAATAAAATTAGTTCAGAAGCACATAAATTTGTTATGCTCAATATTAAAGATGGTAGGTGAATCTATTTTAGTTTTAAAATTTGAAAATTAATTGTTTAGGATAGTTGAAATTATCATTGACTTTTAAATCTTGAAAAGTTAGTTATTTTATCATATGTAAGATAAGAACATAATGTGAGTTTTATTATTTTTATCAACTAGTCAAAAACAGAGTTTGATGATATATATATATAAACTTCCTAATTTGATTATTCGAAATGAGTTTTGTTTGTAAACGAATAGAATTTGAAATTCATTCGAATAACAATATTTAAATCATCAATATGTATCCATATTAATTCCGAGGTCTTAAAGATATGAAAAAAAAACTGGAAACCTATTATCAAACGCCCTTCGACTTTCTATATCTGTGAATGACGATTATTCAGTATTGACGAGATTAGATGTCTGGATTTCCGATTAGCAAGTGCCTCTCCTGTTCATAAAATGTCCGACTTTGTCAATTTTTTACAGTTTTGTGGTAATTGGTAATTTTGGCCAGCAACCAGATTTTGAAACGCTGTTTACCTTTCTATGGCAGAAAGCGATATAAAAATAAGCAGACTCTAGCGTTACGAGATGAATAAGATCGGAGAGAGCCGGTCTAATAGCAAGCTGTCTGTTATCAGTGACGGTAGGTTTTGTTTTCCCCTCCCACCCGGCCACCAATTTTAGCACTCCCAGAATGAAAGCACGTTATAGAAGAAATTGTGGACTTTCTATCGAATTTCTAGCCCATCTCTAGATAAAAAGTCAACCCTGCTATTTACATCTTGTAGATCCTAATAAGTTATGAATGCGCTTAAAAAATTTCGAGCTTTATGTTTATCGTTATCGACATTTGCATTTTTATGGTATTTTTAGGCATAATATCATGGTCATCCTGAAAAAAGGTCGGGTTCAAATTTGGATTTAAAATTTTGCATAGAGACAAGTTTGATAAAGAATATTTTTATTGTAAAAGTTTCAAATTTTTCGATTACTCCTATTCTGAAATAAGAGACTTGAAGTCTTCCGTTGTATAGTGACGAATGTAAATCTAGAACATGTATTTTTGATTTTTCTCCGGGATGGTAATAGCTAGAAAGCGTCTGCAAAATATTCAAGTAACCGAAAAAATTCTCTATCAGGATTTGAACACCTAAAAACTTCAATAGAACTTCTTGCATGATGATGTTTGGAAATAACTTTTTTTTTACATAAAATAAAATGAGGTGTTTTGCCTTTCTTCATCGGACTGCATGCAATTCATAGGAGATTTTAAAACGTTCAGCACGACAAAAACAGAAACATTTGTTTCTTGGGTGCCTTTCACTTTGCTCTATAAAATAAATTTACTTTTAAAAAATTTCAGATGAATGTCAGAACACTGATTTTGGGAATCTTGGTTTTTCAGACATTCTTAGCCAAGGAATTCTATTAAAATTTCTAGGTTCATCAATCCTAATGAAGCATCCCTTTAGTTATTCAAATATTTTTTAGATTCTTCTTATCTATTACTATCGAGGAGAAAACTCAAAAATACAACAGATCGAAACCTTTGTTCATTGGTATGTCTGAGTAACAGGCTAACCTTGCTTTTTATGATAGCTAAATCTGAGGATAGGAAAAACGAAATAGTTTGAAACTTTCGCACTAAATGATTCCCGTTAAGACTTGTCTCCATACAAAAATTTCAAGTCAAGGTATTATGCGTAAAAGTTACCATAATAATGCAATATCTCAGCAGTGATACATTAATAGCCCGAAACTTCTTCACAGTGTTTATAGTTGATTAGGATCTTCATAGTGCAGATAATCTATAGTCAAGAATGATTCTACACTTTTCAACAGTAACCATCTTAAAAAAAACCTAGAGAATATCAATATTAGTTTGTTTCGGACATACGAAATAGATTGTATAAAAATGTCAATGTTTTTATCTATGTAGGTATGCATGAATATGAAATTGAAGCATTATTTCAGTATTATTGTCATCGTTATGGTGCAATGCGTCATATGTCTTATACATGTATATGTGCAACTGGTGAAAATCCAGCTACACTTCATTATGGACATGCTGGTGCACCAAATGATCGTCAATTTATCTCGGAAGATATGTGTTTATTTGATATGGGTGGTGAATATTATTGTTATGCATCGGATATAACTTGTTCATTTCCTGTATCTGGCCATTTTACAAATGAACAACGAATTATATATGAAGCTGTACTTGATGCTAATCGTCAAGTAATGAAAAGTGTTCAACCAAATGTATCATGGGTTGATATGCATCTATTAGCTGAACGTACACAACTTGAACATTTAAAAGCAGCTGGTCTTGTACAAGGTGATATTGATGAAATGATGAATGCACGTTTAGGTGCTTTATTTATGCCACATGGTCTTGGACATCTAATTGGTATTGATACACATGATGTTGGAGGTTATCTTGATCCTCATACACGTTCAACATTACCCGGCTTAAAATCTTTACGAACAAATCGTTTATTAAAAGAACGTATGTGTATAACAATTGAACCAGGCATTTATTTTAATCAAGCTTTATTAAATGATGCATATAATAATGATGAATTAAGTAAATTTTTAAATAAAAATGAAATTGATAAATATTTACATGTTGGTGGTGTAAGAATTGAAGATAATATTGTTATAACAAAAGATGGTTGTGAATTATTAACAAAAGTTCCACGTAGTTGTGATGAAATTGAAGAATGGATGAAACATAATGATAAAAATGTGCTTGACAAAATTGATTATCAATTATTTGATGAATTAAATAAAAAATATCAATATCAAAACCAATATATAACAATAAAAGCGAACAGTTAAAGTGAGGATAGTGGCTTCTATTTTCTTTTTGTCTTCTATTTATTGATACAATCATGTTTTTTTTTTTATTTATACTTTTGTGATTTTAATTAATATGTCGTTTTTTTCGCATAAAAAGCTTATTTGCATATAGTGATTTTGATTAATTTCGCTTTCAGATATTAACTATCAATCTTCATATTTCAAACACTATCTAATACAAGTATTCGACAAATAATGGATATCTTAGGAGTTCGATGTGTATGGTAAATAAATTTTTAATATGATTGTTTACATATTATTTTTAATTCAAAAACAAACATATTGGAAGTACATTTAACTATAAATGTAAACAATAGATGTTAATGAACTGTAAAATCTAATGCTGTGATGATAAGTCAAGAAAAAAAAGTCGATAAATAATATCAATAGAAAGTATATTACCTCTTGTAATCATCTTGTTTTCTTTTGTTTTCTATTTTAGGAACATAAGGCAGTAGAAAAAAGTTTAGCAACAATGCTTTTTCCTTAATGTTAAATAATCAACTCAAAACCAAATTATGATTTGTGTAGCTAATGAAGTTTTGTTGTACCAAGATTTTTAAAAAAACTGGACATAATAGTTTTCTGGTCCCAGAAGAATATTTTTCAACAATAACATTTTAAACAGCACAAAATGAAGCATCGCCGCATTTTCTAAGAACTTAAATTAAAAAGTTAATAGTACTACAAAAACTTTTTTAGTTGAGTTTTTTTTATATATTTGTTTGTTTATGACACTTTAAACTTATTAAGAAAAGGTAGTAAAAAGTAAAGTGCTCCTTTCTTCTCTGCTCTTCAAAATGGCATTGTAAAAAAATAGTCTTCTAAGACCTGAAAATTACTTTGTCCCAATAGGGAAAATACAGGTTTGGAAATTCTAATATTTCGGGGCACTGAAATACTGATACATACTCGGATCTAGACTGGGAATAAAGATGATAGCAATGAATGAGAGTTGTACTATTTTGATTCCATTTTTTCAATCGAAACAAGGCTATTTTTAGAAAATGTTAACTTTTTTGTAAAATTTCACTAAAAGCCTCTAGAGTCAAAGAATTCGAACCTTTATGCTTGAGTTCGCTTTTTTCTGCCAGTGGAAGCCTATTTCCTACGATTTACTCACGTTTTATAACATTCAGCTAATTGTTGGAAATTGACTTCCGATGATCGAGAAAATCGAAAACTCAAGAATAGCGATTCACATTTCCCAATCCGGAAACTTAGTCAAGTTCTATTAAAAAAAAACGTTATTTTCAGAAAATAGCCTTATTTTGAGTAAAAAACAAATTGAATTGAAATAGTATAACTCTTACTCATAACTATCACCTTAATTTCTAGTCTAATTTCAAATATGTATGAGTATCAAAGCTTGAGCCGGTCGGATTCGTTTCGAACCCGATGGGCTCTAACCACAGACTCTTGTAGAAAAACTTGGTGCTCAAGTGCTGCAATTACTTCATTTTCACGTTCGGATATTTTACAAACCTTACTATATGAAATCGTGGTAAAATAAAACTTTATTCACTATTAAAATCGCCGTCTAGATTTAAGCTAATTCTTTAACATTATAGAAAAATATGCTGTTGCTAAACTTTTTTTTTTTCATTAAACTTACATATTATTTCGAATTCCTTAGAAAGGAAAAAATGAATATGATAATATTTCATCAAGAATATTTTTTAGATTGAATACTAATAATCATTTTCAATCATCATCATGTCGCCTGTAACAGGTAGTTCAACAAAAAAAACAACCACAGCTAAGACGACGACAACAAAAACGTCTTCATCAACAGGTAAAACAACAGGTGGTGCACCTAAAAAAGGCAAAAAGAAAATAGCCTCTGCACCACTTAAATCAAAAACTGAAACAAAAAAACTTGTCAATCCATTATATGAAAAACGACCCAAGAATTTTGGTATTGGTCAAGGTAAAAATTATCAAACACTAAACTTTCGTTTTTCTTAATTTTTATTTATTTAAAATTTAGATATTCAACCAAAACGTGATTTAACACGTTTTGTTAAATGGCCACAATATATTCGTGTTCAACGTCAACGTAGTATTTTACTTAAACGTTTGAAAGTACCACCACCAATTAATCAATTTACACAAACACTTGATAAACAAACATCAACACAATTATTTAAATTACTTGAAAAATATCGTCCGGAAACACGTGCTGAAAAAAAACTTCGTTTAAAACAACGTGCCGAAGATCAAGCAAAAACCGGTAAACCAGATAAACCAACTAAACGACCACATGGTATTCGTAGTGGAATGAATGCTGTTACATCATTAGTTGAAAAAAAGAAAGCACAATTGGTAATTCTAAAGTCTTTTATTTATAATTTTCTATTCGTTTTTTTTGTTTTGTTCTTAGGTTCTTATTGCTCATGATGTTGAACCAATTGAACTTGTTCTTCATTTACCAACATTATGTCGTAAAATGGGTGTTCCATATTGTATTGTTAAAGGCAAAGCACGTCTTGGTCGTCTTGTTCATTTGAAAACTTGTTCATCAATTGCTTTAACTGATGTTAATGCTGAAGATAAATCTGGTTTAAATAAACTTATTGACGCTATTAAAACTAATTTTAATGATCGTTATGATGAATTACGTCGTCATTGGGGTGGTGGTGTTTTAGGTAATAAATCTCAAGCACGTATTAATCGACTTGAACGTCTTAAAGCTCGTGAAGCAGCACATCAAAGAAATGCTTAATAAAACAAGCAAAGAAAAAAAAACCATCAATTTTATGTGCTCAAAACAAGAAGAAAATAAACACAAAAATATATATAAGAACTTTTGTTTTGTTTTGTGTGTATTGTTTTGATTGTTAAAGATCAAAATTTTTAAAATAAATCTACACACAAATATAAACTGAAGAGAGATAAAAAAAAAACATTACCAAATTTCTTGTTTTTATTCATTTAGATATAATAAAATAAATATATTGCTTGAAAGAAAAACAAAAAGAAGAAATGTTTTATATTTATATAAATGAATAACATTGTCATTAAAATCGACCTGATTTGTTAAAAACATTTCAAAATAATTGCTTATTGGTTACTTTTTTATTTAGAAAAACAATCTTAATACAAGATTAGCAAGAAAAAGTTAAAAATCGACAGGTAAAAGGTTTGTATGAGATCTTGATTAGGACTGTTGAATAATGTTTTCTTTGTAGCGATCGCTTTTTATACTCATTAGAGAATCAGGTAATATGATTCAAAACTTTTGCAATCATAACTAATCGATATAATAGAATATATCTAAGAGAATATAAATATTTCACTGAAAATGTTCTATGAGGTTCTGATGTTTTAGCAAAATAATAGTTTCAAATTTTAACGAGAACCTTTTCTATATTAGCATTTAGATTTATTGAGCTATCCACAATGTGCGTGTGTATATATGGACAAGTGTTTTCAAAATTCGAATTTCTGTGATGCGATGTATAAATACTGAAGTTTATTATAGAACCCTCGAACTTCGGGGTTCAGGTTAGGTCTTGACCGTAATCATTTTCATTCAATTGATAAAATAAATTAGCAGTAAACCAATAGAAAGAATTTTTAGCTTGGTTATGATAGGTCTACACATAATGGAATAAATAATTCAAAAAAATCAAGGGCCTGCAGGTATACTAAAAATAGATAAATAACCTTAGAATGCTTCCATAAATGTCCAGATACCTTAAGAAACGTTCAGACAATTCCCTAATCATAAATCGCTTTTGAGTCGAGACTATTTGCATTATGCAGATCCAAATGGGTTATGTATATCCTGAAAAGAGTTCATGCTCTTAGTTTATTACCATGAAGATATTGCAATTCTCAGGTATTTTTAAAACAAATTAACGTGAATCCTCTCCGGAAAACTTATTTTCGAATATCGAACTGAAACTTTCTATAGAAACACATGTTGACGAGTATAGTTTATTATAGCAGTTTCAAGTCTTTTACTTTGTTTCTATCCTATAATAAGAAGATTAAATCTACCGGTTAGTATAAACGATATAAAAGACACGCTATTATCATTGACATAAAAGCTATTCTTGTAAAGGCTTGTACCTGCAAAGCTTCAAGTCAAAACTCAAAGATAAGTTTTCATAGTGTTCCAATGGGGAATCTCGGTATTCATTTATAATATGGCGTAAAAATGCAGTATCTCCGTAGCAATAAGCTAAGAGCACGAAATTTTTTTCAGAATATTCATAGTTCATACGGGTCTACAGAATGCGTATAGCTCGACTCAAAAATGATTTATTAGTTGAAAGAGTTTTCTGGTAAGTAGAGTCCGTCTGATTTGTTTCGGGCTTGATCAGATGCGAAAATTTTGTATCTAATGAACTCTATTCGTAGACAAAATACATTGAAAAAAATAGTTTTCAATAGACGCTTATAAATATTATTTCTTTTCTTTCAAGAAACACTTTAAATATTTAATGATTGATTTCATCTGAGAGATCGAATGACAAAACAAAAAACATGAAAATCACGAACAATAATTCAGTTATTCGAATATCTTTCCATAAGTTTAGCTTACAATCTAATAAATCATTAAGTTCATTAATACATTCTTTCTTTCATTTTCAGATAAAAAAAAAATGTTTTTTTAAAAAGATTTCACGATGCAGAAAAAACGCGTTCAAGTAACGAAAACTAAAATTAAATTTCACATAGAAAACTTTCTTCTCCTTTGTTTAGCTATCATTTCTTATACGAAATGAAAATGAACGTGTGCATCGTGGTGGTATTAATGCACTTCGTTATGATGCAAAAAACGATCGGCTTTATACAGCTGGACGTGATTCAATTATTCGAGCGTGGGATTGTAAACGTTATGGGGTATATTTTTTGATTATTCTTTGAATCTATACAAAAAAAAAACTTTTCTTTCAGTCTGATATGTATGAATATTCCATGGAACATCATACAGATTGGGTAAATGATATTGTTCTTGTTAATTCCGGCAAGCATAGTAAGAGAGTTTTCCTTTACAAGAAAAAAGCAAATTTATTTATATTTCGTAAATCTTTTAAGTACTTTCGGCATCAAGTGATGCAACAATTAAATTATGGAACGCGCCAAAAGGAACATGTATGTCAACATTACGAACACATAAAGTAAAACAAAAAATATTTTATTATCTTTTTTTTCTGTTACCGATAAATTTCTAATATTTAAGGATTTTGTTAAATGTTTGGCATATGCTAAAGACAAAGAACAAGTTGCAAGTGGAGGTTTTGATAATAATATATTTCTATGGGATGTTAATGTATTAACAGCTTTAACTGCTGTAAATAATACAGTAACAAGTAAATTTTTTGTAAAATTTTTGTTCAATTATTTCTAAAATATCAATTATTAGCTTCAACATTTACTGGTAATGAACATTCCGTGTATAGTTTAGCGATGAATCCATCTGGTACAGTATTAGTAAGTGGTTCACCGGAAAATGTGGTAAGTTTTATTTTAAGAAAAAAAAGAATATTTATTAAACTTATTTTCTATTGATTAGATACGTGTTTATGATCCCAGATCATGTACATTATTAATGAAATTAAAAGGACATACAGATAATATTCGCGCATTAGTTTTAAATCGAGATGGAACACAAGTAAAACAAAAATTAAAAATTTTATTTAGAAAAAAAATAGAGAAATTCATTTCATTTTAGTGCATTTCAGCTAGTTCTGATCATTCAATACGTATATGGTCACTTGGGCAACAAAGATGTATTAGTAAACTTCATATACATTCAGATGCTGTTTGGACATTATGTGTATGTATTTAAGAAAATCATTTTTGTTTTATTTTTATTGAGCTTTCTAAATATTTTATAGGTTAATGAAGCATTTACAAGACTTTATTCAAGTGGTCGTGATAGACGTGTTTATCTTACTGATTTAGCAGATACATCAAGAAGTGTTTGTGTTTGTCAAGAAGCAGAACCTGTTCTTCGAGTAAAGACATATTTTATATGAATGATTTTCAACTTTTCGGTACTATTGATGCGAAAGATTAAAAGTAGACCTATACAATATCTGAGTAGCATATTTTATCATGCTCTATATCTATGATACACAACAAAATTTTCCTGCTTTGTTGTCGAGATGTGATTTATTTTAGTGTAAGCATATCGTCAGAAATGTTATTTAGTGGGAAAATCGATTATAGATCGCTGAAATTCTATGTAATAAAACTGTTTATGAATTCATAACCAACGTTTGCAATGAAAGTAGAATCTTTTCCAAAAAAGAAACGAGTTTAGTGATATAAAATGCAATTGATCTTGACTCACTATGATTCTTTGAAAGAGCGTATTAAAAATGTCTTTCTACAGATTGTATTGTGCCAGTCAAATCTAATATTTTTGAACTGGGACACAACCGAACCATACTTGGATACTCTCAATGAAATTTTACAATCGGGATAGTAAATAGTCGCCATGCATTGCTCTAAAGTTCTTTACGACGAAATTTTAGAATAAGATCATTTTTACTTTTCTCACCACATTAGAAAGTGATTCAAAAGAAAATGTTTTATCAGTTGGAAAAATGGGTCTTCTGTTCAATAACTTTGTTTTTTCTTAACTTGTGTGTAGACGGAGGAAATTGAGAAATAATCTTGCCCTATTAGAAAACGAAAAAGCGTTTGTCATTCAATATTTCGGATGAATACATATTGAACGATATATAATTCGATAGAATACTTCAAGCTCTATAAAATGAACTACTCGTCATCGTTTTTTTTCTTTCATTTGATTCTCTGAAAATATCCTATTCTTAGTGCATCAAATAGGATTTTGTTAAAGTTTAAGCCTCATCAATCTTCGATGATATAAGCTAGAGATATGATATCAGTTGTGAATAGAGGCCACTCACAAACCAATAATATAAAAAGTAATTATTCAAAACAATCAACAGAAACAAAAGTTATTAGTTAAATAGAGTCAAAGTCGCAATTGTACTAAAAAGTTGCGATTCACTAACAAATTTGAATATTTAATGAAAAAACCCCTCTTTTAAGGTTGAACTTGGTAAAGAACAACAACAATTATGGGTTTCAACGACAGAATCAAATATACGTTGCTGGGTATTTTATGATTAGTATATTAATTATTCATTGAATTCTGGTTTGTTTGTTTTTTAAATTTTATTAGAACTTAAAAGATAGTCTTACAACATTAACTCGTACAAGTTATTATGATGGCGAAGTGCTATGTAAACAACCAGATATGATTATACAAGGTGGTCCAGCACTTAAACATTATCATATTTTATCTGATAAACGACATATTATAACAAAAGATTCAAATAATAATGTTGCTCTCTATGATGTTTTACAAGTAATTTAAATTAAAAAAAAAACTTCGAATTTATTCGTATTGAATATTAATAGGCGAAAATGATAGAAAATCTTGGTAAATGCGATTACGAGGAAGAAATACGAAAACGTACCAAAACTATTTTTGTACCTAATTGGTTTTGTGTTGATCTTAAAGTTGGTGTAAGTGAATTATTTATATAAAAAAATTAGACAAAAAAGACTTCATATTGTTTGTATTTTAATTAGATTTTGACAATAACACTTGAAGAAAGTGATATTTTTGCTGCTTGGATTTCTGTTAAAGAAGTAGTAGACAATAGTGCAGCTGGAAATACAACTGAAGTTGTTGATGTTAAAGGTAAACTATCAGTATATCCAAACACAGTGATCAATTTCTGTAATAACGGAGTAGATATGTTCGTTTTGGTGGAAGTTTTTAAAACAAGTTAGAATGAATGAAATTCTATTTCCTGCAGGATACGACAAGCTCAATGTTGTTACTTATAAGGTTCTCCGGTTGGATTTTGCTAGGTTGTGACTTAAAACTTAAGTGAATCGTGTTGAAAAGAAAAATCAGCTTTCTCCTGCTTAAAATAATGGAACCTATCCAAATCTGAACAAGAAAAAGCTAGTTGAAATAAAACTAAAAGATAAACTTGTCATTTTAGACCAAAATGCATGTTTCATGGTACTTGTTTGATTGTGCTCACACTATTTCTATGTGAAGTCGATACTGCTTCAGCATGAATATTTTGTGATAATAGTTCACTATTTGAACTTTTTCCAATGACATTTTGACAAGAATGAGAACAGGTGTACGTTAAATGTTTCCAGAAGACTTTTAAAGATTTCACGAGAAACCATACATATTTCTGGAAAAACTGATAATACAATCAAAAGTAAACTTTGAAACGCCCGTTATGGCTTGAAATCAGTAGTTTATTGTTTAATTTGACTTTAACTGGGTTTTTCTTGCTCGTATTTATATAGAACTCATCATTTCGAATAAGAAAAAACTGAAGTTTTGAACACGATTCATGTCAAGTTTAAGCATAAAGCTATAGCGAAGCCCAACCAAGGAACTCTATGGATGACCACAGTGAGCTTGCTGTAGCCTGCAGAAAATAGGGTCCTATTATTTCCGAACGTCATATTCGTGATCAATATGCTCATCATTTATTGCGCTTTTGATCCTTAGATCACAATCAGGAGCCATCCTTGACTAGTCTTCAATACAAAAGATCTCAAATCCTTCTTTTTGTGTCTCTATTTTGATTTTTGTATTCTAACTTGAAAAACGAAATATTAAATTTAAATGAGTTCATACTTTTCTTTTATAGAAAATTATGGTGTTTTAATGTTACATTCACTTTTTGAATATTGGCCAATAGTAAAACAAGCATTAGGTATTTCAATTGAATCTTTTGTTTTGTTTCATTAAATTAATGATATTTCTCTTCATTCTAGAAACAACTGATGGCTATGCAGAACGTGTTCATCTAGACAATCTTTGCCACATACCTGGACATACACCTATTTTCCTCGGGTATATTATCATAATCAGAATAAAAAAAGAAAACAGATATATTGATATATAATTTTCTTTGTTTTTTTTTTTGTTTAATTTCAAAATAGTGAAATTGGTGGTCGTACACTTTATCGTTTTCGATGTAATGAAGCCAGTGGTGAACCTGAACAAAGTTTTCTACATGAAGTTTTACCTCAATTTATTGTTAATGTTATTGTTAAAGTTAGTTTATTATTGACATAGTATTATCACATCTTCTCTTTTAATCTTGTTTTCCTTTTCTTTTAGCATCAAGTTCCTGTATTAACAAAAATTCCCTTTATACTCCATCATCAAATTAGTAGTACAAAATATACTAAAAAGTAAGCTTTTTTTTTGTTTTGTGATTATTTTTAAAAGTTATGTATTTTATATTTCAGAGATCGTTTATCAGCAAGTGATATTATGATTGTACGAAAAGTAATTGAATATATTTATGAACGATATGTGCTTAATGAACAACAACAGCAGCAACAACAACAGCAACAATCACAACAACAACAGCAATCACAACAACAAACTTCATCTACGGCAACAGCTGGAAATGGAACAAGTAAAATTTTTATTATTATTAAATTGAAAGAAAAATAAAATAACAAAAAATTTTCTAGATCAACAAGATGGAAATGGTGAACAACAACGTGAATCAGATATTAGTAAAAGTGTTGATCATATTGAATTATTATGTCAAGATCAAGTTAGAATATTATTTATCAAAGTTAAAAATTGTTTTTTTTGTTTTCTTTGGTTTTTTTTATAGGTTTTGGATTTATCAATGGATTTAAGAACTGTTAAACATTTTATGTGGAAAGGAGGTGGAGATCTCGTTTTATGTTTTCGAACTAAATCTTAGTTTTTCTTTTTCTGATTGTATCATAATTTTAACTTTTTCTTTTCTTTGTACAATTTATTTTATCGTCTTAAAGTCTTCTTGCTTTAAATTGAACTAGTCATATATTAAAGAACAAATTGTATGAATATAAGAAAAACCATGAAGACAATATTAGAGAAAAATAGATGAATATTTCCAGATAATGATTGTATTCGAGTATTGAATGAATGAATGATGGCAAACAATATGAAACCTGAAACAATGCTGATGTCAGGTAATTTTAGTCTAATATGATTATGATATTCATGATTAAACGATATCTACTGGATAAAGATGTGCAGGATTGGGATCACGAGAAAAACATTTGACAGAACTCAGACTACATGAAAAAGAAGTTGCTGAAACTAGATCTACAAGAAACAAAGTTGTCCTAGCCAGATCTTAAGATTATAGCTAAATATTCTGTGGTTATAAGCAAATATCCTAATAAATGCTATCAATCAGAACATAATTCAAAAGAGATGATCTAATAAAATGCTAGTCATCGACTCAATAAATTAGAAGACGAAGATTTGAAGAATCGTTTTAAATATAATTCGAATAAATTTTGAAATAGTTTTCTCTAGGCCGAGACCGTAATCAGATTAGACTTACTGAAGCCATAATCTTGACCATTTCAAAAGAACCTACCGAGGCCGGAAATACGGGAAGAAACTACCGGAACCTGAATCATTAAAGAAGAAGCCACCGGAGTCGACTTCATTAAAAAAGAAGCTATCGGAACTGACATCACGAGAGGAGACACTACCGGAACTAGAATCATTAGAGAAGAAGCTGTCTGAACTAAGTTCACTAGAAAAGAAATTACTAGACCAGTATAACTACAATAGAATCTCCTGGGACCAAAGCTATTAGAAAAGAAGGTATCGGGAGCAAGACCAAAAACAATTGTTTGCTAACATATATAATTCTGATGGAATATTGAATTAATTATGTAAAAAAAAGGCACCGAATTATTGATAAATGTTAATTAACAATTATGTTTTATATTTGATGTGTAGAATAAGTCAGATGAATTTTTAATTTGACAGCGATATGATTAATATTTCCAAGGATTTTTTGTTCAATGAAAACTTCACGAACTTTTAAAACTATGTCTTTGTATATATAAACATTATGTTAAAGAGATTCCTTTTTTTTTGGTTTCTATCTAGAATATTCAGTATGTTTTGGTTTTTTTTAAATATTTGTGTAAGCAACATCTTGCCAAACTTCGCCACTGTCATATTTTTTTGAACAATATCGAACAGTTTGGAAGTTGATCCTGAAAGACTTTATATATCCAACACTCGTACTATTCTACCGAACCTTACTTATATCGATAATCTGTGACCATCCTTTTTTTTTCCTGAAAATCTGTACCATGATTCTTTTCCTAAATTATCGATGCCATATTTGGATATTAAAAATTGTTATTGTATTTATTCCAGGTGTCACAGTTGACTTTCCTTATAAACCTTATCCATGTCAAATAGCAATGCTTGGACGAATAATAAAAGCTTTACAACAATCAAAAAATTGTCTTCTTGAATCACCAACAGGTACTGGTAAAACTTTAACTTTACTATGTGCATCATTAGCTTGGCAACAAAAAGAAATTGAACAACTTCGATCATCTTTATTGAATGAAAATTCAGATAATTCAACAGAATCAACAACAAAACCAACAGCAGTTTCACGTATATTTTATTGTACTCGTACACATAAACAACTTGAACAAGTAGCTAAACAACTTGGTAATACAGTATATAAAGATAAAATTCGTATGACATTATTATCATCACGTGATAATTATTGTGTACATCCAAATGTATCTAAAGGACCAAATAAAAATCATGAATGTGTTAAAATAACACGACCAAATCAAGACAAGTTCGCAGCACGAGGTCTTAAAAGTGAATGTGGTTATTATGAACGTTTAAAAGGTAAAGTAGCTAATGATTTTATTCGATCATATTCCAAACCATTACCACGTGTTTTTGATATTGAACAATTTACTGATTATTGTCGAACATCACATGGCATATGTCCATATTATACAAGTCGTTTGTTAATACATGATGTACAAATTATTCTTTGTCCATATAATTATCTTATTGATCCACGTGTACGTAATTCAATGCAAATGACAATAAATAATGCAATTATTATTATTGATGAAGGTACAAACAAAAAAAAAACTGTTAGTACAATTCCTACAAGATAAAAATGTAAAACATGACATAGCTATTGATACTAATTACATGACGGTTTCTTCATTCTATCGATTTTGAGATACATTTCATCATCCTTTTACTTAATGCCACAAAAATGCAATAAATAATTCATATATTATTATGAAACGTTATTGATATACGATCTGTGATCGTATATTAACAACCTCTGTCACCATCTATGGTCAGAGGTGTAGTCTTGCTAAGACGACTGTGATGTTTCTATAGTAGTGTCTGTTATGAAATGCAAAGGAGGTCCAAATTTCTACACCTATACTTCAACATTTCTTTTAGATTGTATTTGGAAAAAAAACAAAGAATTAATTTTATATGCTGTTTTATTTTTTTCTAGCACACAATATTGAAGATTGTGCTCGGGAATCAATGAAATTTGAAATGAGAAAATACGATTTTGAACAAGCATTACAAGAAATATCTATGAATCTAAATGCATTTGAAATAGCACAAGTTAAAGTAGCTCAGTTAATTGTAAATGAATCTGGTTTTTCATCAACACAAGAACCAATTTCTTTAACACAATTAACAGTAACACAACAACAAGCAGCACGTCGTGCACCGGGTTATTCTGAATTGGATCAATTAAATGAAGAAACTGATTTACTTGACCATTTAAGTATTGATCAACATGGAAATAAACAAGACGAAACATCTGATTCAATGGAACAATTAAAATCTGATGATCATGAAGTTGCTAATGCATTAAAATTTCTTGCTGAAAGATTTTCTCGAATTATTTTATGGTTTGATACGAAAGATACACGTGAAAAATATACATTTACACCTAAAGAACTTATTGAACAATTTCATCAGGCAAAATTTATTGATCAATCACTTATTAATGTTCATAAACCGGCAGCGTATGTTAAGTTTGTTTGTTTTTCATTATATAGATTGATACATTATATTTTTGTTTTAGAAAAAATCAACCATCCACCAAACATCAAGTTATTCAAGATGCTGCTCGTATACGAAAAGCATTAGCGAAAATTTTTTTAAATCGACCAGAATATATCAAATTTTCTGATGAAACTGGAAAGTTCTTAGAAGAACTTGATCTGTAAGATAACAATTTTATTATAATCTTTCGTTTTTCACAAAGATTTTGTTGTATATCTATTAAGTTAACTTTTTCTCGAAACGAAATCTTGTCAAATGATAAATTGTTTTTGAGATCAATCAAAATCCGATTGAAACTCGATAAAGTTTAAAAAGAAGTTTGTGTTCATATATCTGTCTTCTTAAATTATGACCAAACAAAATCCTATAGTATCCTTTAAAATCAACTGTCGAGTTTTAATTTTGTACGAATAAAGTTCTTAATAGGACTAGTCTATGCATATAAATTTGTAAGTACACATCCTTCATTTATTGCTCACTCGAGATCAAACCTTTTACTATCTGTGTATATGATTTCAGACATGTACACCTCGTCTAAAAACCGAAAAGAGGCCAGCAGTTCTAAACTAGCGGTCAAGACAGAAAGTCCTTTGAACGAACGACACAGCTGCGCCTAATAGTAGCAAAAGAAGTTTTTTTTTCTCATACTTGCGTTGTTATAATATTTTCTTAAAAAAATAAAATTCTCTTTTTGAACACTCGCATATCAACAATAATATAAAGTGAAACGTTTAAGGCAAGTTATAATATTATACTCGCCACGGTGAAATCGAGTAAGCTTTTAATTATGTCGATTGACTATCGGAACAGATTTTTAATTAGGATTGTTTACAAATTATTCGATATATATATCACAAACGAGTATCGAATTAAGGCCATAAAACAAACGATATTTCATGAAGACCGATTATGTCAACGATTCAATCTCTTCTCTTAGTTTTTACTCTTTAATGTATATCCATTTAGAGAAAATTCGAGCAATAGATTTTAACAGCTGATATGATAAAGGCATGACTGTCATTTGGCTCCACAAAACGGTGATCATATCTGTATGATACGACACTATATAATGATTTTTTTTATAAATATGGATTCTAATCGAATCAGTGAAGTAAAAATGTTTCGTTCTTAGAATCTACATTAATGAAGTTTCTTCAAACTTCTTTTAAACAGTTGATTTCAACTAAAGATCACTTCATCTCTGTCATAGTAAACGTTTGTTTTCACTTAGATCGAGAAAAATGTTTTCTTCAATAGTCATGACTTCTTATGATATTAACTGAATTGTTTTCTTTCACAAAAAGCATATTGATTAAACTTGAACGAGATATTCTAAGATATTTAATGTGCTACTCAGATTCTCATAGAAATCCACGCTCATTGAGCATTCTTTTCATAGATAGACTTATTTCAATGAATTTGATTTAAAGACTTTGTTAAAACTTTTTGTTTGTTTTTTCTTTAGCTGTTTATCGGTTTTATATAGTGATGATTATCCATTTATTGACGATTATAGAATAACATTAAAAACAATCCCATTTGAACCAAGTGCAAGTATAATTTCACAAATGCAACAACGATCCGAAAATTCAACGGATGTAGATGATAATAAAGGGATTGATATGCGTTCACAATCAAGTCAATTTAAACGATATCAATATACTTTAGCTCAAACAACTTTTCCTATTCATACACAACAATTAACATTTTATTGTTTATCACCAAGTGTTGCATTTTCTAAAGATTTAAAATTAGCTCGATCGTAAGTTATTTGATATAATTTTAAATACAGCTAAGTTCTTTGATTATTTTTTTTTTGAAGTTTAATCTTTGCATCCGGCACACTTGCCCCATTGGCAACTTATTCCGGCGAATTAAAAGTTGCCTTTGATATTCAAATGGGTACAAAAAAAATTATTTAATTTGTTTTTTCAAACTTGTTAAATAAAAACAATGTCTTTTAGAATGTAATCATGTTATTGGTCTAGATCGTACATTTATAACAGCCTTAAGTCATGGACGAAATCCCAATGTAAAACTACGAGCAACGTATCAAAATACAGATAAATTTGAGTTTCAAGTAGGACTAATTCTTTTTTTTTGTCTTTTTCTAATGAAAATATTCTTTCAAAGGATGAATGTGGTCTTGTTGTACTTGATGTTTGTCAACGTGTTCCTTATGGTGTACTTTGTTTTGTACCATCATATCGATTTCTTAATGCAATTATTAATCGTTGGATGACAAGTGGACTTTGGCAAAAATTAAATGAATATAAATCAGTATTTTTTGAAGAAAAAAATAGTGCTAATTTTCAAAATACAATTAGTAAGATTTTATTTTAAATGATTATTTTTTTGTTTTTATTTAATATAAATCATTTAAAAGATCGATTTCGTGAAGCAAATGGAACACTAAAAATAGTTAAACCAGTATCAGCTGTTGCTAAATGTGTGAAAGAAATGTTTAAACGAAAACCTACTTCGGCTGAAACATCAACTACAAATTCACAATATTTCAATTCAAAAGGTGGTCTTTTATTAGCTGTGTGTCGTGGACGTGCATCTGAAGGCATTGATTTTTCGGATAATAATGCACGTTGTGTTATAACACTTGGAATACCATATCCTAATGTACAAGATGAAGAAGTTTGTTTTAAACGTAATTATAATAATGAACAAAATAAACGTATGCCACAAATTATGAATGGTAGTGCTTGGGTTAGTTATTATTAATTTTCATTGGTTTTCTTTTCTTCTAATACAGAGATTGTCACAGAACGGTTTTCTTCATCTGTCCCAATTCGGTTTTCATGATTTTCTTTTGCCTTCAGATACTAGATACTGTTCTAATAAAATCTTTTAAAAGACTGGAGATTCGATTAGCGAAAAATTTGATGGCTCAGTTAAATCTCAATAGAAACTCAAATCCTTTTAGGGTTGCTATTGGAAAACTACTTAGTATATATACAGGAAAAAAATCATTGAAATTAGAAGATGGCAACAGAAGAAGTTCTCTTGCGAACTAAATCATCTTTCTAATGAAGCACTAGCCGCTGGTGTTGCATGTATTCTTCTGGCTGTTACTGATAACAACGAAAAATCCTGACGAGTTTCTCTACTAGACCAAGACACCATTAGATCACGATAGGAGATGCGCGAACCAAGTGTTTTGGTCCACGACGCGGTCCGGTCTCAATAACTTCTCTTTTCCATGGGTTTGATAAAATTTTCTTTTTCGGTCTCGCACATCTCTAATCACAATTCATTAGGTGACTTGAGTGCCCTGCAAGACCTATATCTTCAAAAAAGAAGATTATCCTGTTGCGGCATGTATAAGACAAAATAGGTTGCCTATAGGATAAGTCTTAAAAAACACATGTCCTCTAATATTTTCTTTTTTTTATTTAAGTATGATTCTCAAGGATATCGTGCATTAAATCAAGCACTTGGAAGATGTATTCGTCATAAAAATGATTGGGGAGCATTATTTGTATATATTTGAATAGAAAATTTGTATTTGAAAGTCTAATTTTTATTTTTACTATTTAGATTGTTGAAGAACGAATTGTTAATAATATGAGTGATAAACAATTTAATAATAAAATTTCTTTATGGATTAAACAACGTCTTTCTATTTCACGTAAATATGATGATACAATGAATGCTTTAGAAAAATTTGTTGAGAATATGAAAAAATCTGAAGAAATAGAAATGTATGAAAAACAACAACAAGAACAAAATGAAGAATCTGAAAAAAAAGTAATTGATATTGAACAACATCAATTAAATTCAAATCTTCCACCATCAAATGGTGAATATTAAAATTATGTTCATTTTTAAAAACAAAACTTATATTTGTATTTTAGAAATACCAAAGAAAATTGAAGAAACTAAATCTGCTTATCGACAATATAAAATTGATGATTTAACTGATGATGAAAATGTCAATGAAAATAAACCTAAACAAATAAAAAGCAAAGCTTTTGAAAAATTTTTTGCTAAACGTCAATCATCTATGGCACCACCACCACCACCACCACCAATATCATCGGAAAACGTTAATTCATCGCACATCGAACAAACAACTAATCTAACAGATGATAATAATGAGAAAATGAAACAAAATCATGTTAAACAAATAAAAAGTAAACCTTGTCGAATATTTTTTACACAACGTCCCATGTCTTCATCTTCAATGCCAACATTATCTCAAAAAGTCAATTCATCTCGAACACAAACAATGATTGATTTAACTGAAGATGATGATAATGATGATTTTATTCAATCAACATCTTCGTATTTTCCTCGACCAAATAAAAAATTTAAATCGACATGAGTTTTGTTTAGTTAAATAATAGATTATATACATATTTTTTTTTACTTATTTCATTTTTGTGTGACATAGATCGTTTATTTATTTTCAAGTTCAGTGGATTTTTTTGCGTTCTTTTTTGTTAAAAATGCTGTATTTGTGTATATGTAATATAAATATCTTACACTGTTTGATAACGCGAATGAATTATATCAAATCAATCAGTGAACAGTTTGAAATCAAAATAAAGAGGAAAATGTTATTTTAAATCATACAATCCATATAAATACACAAATTAAATAGAGAAGAATAATAAAATGATAATATTGACAAGCCTAGGTAAGTTCGAAAAACTGCACAAAAAGAATTTAATCAATAATCTTAATTGAAATTAGTTTCTTAATAAACTTACTAGAAAAAGTATGTGTGTGCATTTCTGATACATCATTACTAGTTGAAAGGCTATTTTCATAAGTAATCTTTTACTCAGATTGATTCGTTGAAATTTTTCACATATTATTTGAAACGTTAATAAATAGATGTTTTTACTTGTAAAGAACTTTAAGTTTAATTTTTTCGGTTATAAAAATCGATGTCTTTTTTAGTAAGGATGGGAAACGCTCGTTATCAGGTATCGTGCAACAGAGTAATGGAAAATTCATGAATTTGATTCGTTTGCCTACGATAACTATTTGGGGAAAATCACGATCTTTTTGTGTAACGTTTGATCAATTACTTGGAGGATTGAGGCATCTAAATCTGTGATTGATTTATCGAAAGTTTGTACTTGATTTCGTGGAATCCATGTATATTTTCGAAGAAAATAGGGAGTATAAGTTTTGGATTGAAGCTTTGTGGTTCTTCAGCCTCATTATAGATCTTAGCAACCGACATTAGACAACATAATAGATGGCTAACGTAAGATCTGATGTAGATATAACAAATTTGTACAATATGCTTATTTATTCATGAAATCAATAGTAAGAAGAATAATAATAATAAACTATAAAAATGAAATTAAAAATGGAGTGATACTCAAAAAAAAACAAAATCTCTACTCGAAATGTGGAAATACAAAAGACAGACAGTTTTCTGTCGATCGATTCTCGTTACAAAAGAGCTATCGTCTTTCAGAGATTTTACATTCTGCATATTTTCCATCAGTATAATAAGGTTTAAGAAGACATGCGCGTTCCACAATTCAACCTCAATATCGCTGCGCTAATAAGCTTTTTCTCACTAAAGAAAGACTATTCTAGGAAAGTAACGAGTTATTATAAAGTATAATGAAAAGTTTTCAGGGCCGAGAAACCTGAATCTGTAATCAGTTTCTCAAAATACTACAAAAATAAACAGAAAACAAAGAAAAATGGCACAAATAACTTGATTCAAATCTATTTGTCGATAAAAATCTTTTAAGTAATCGAAATGCACTAAAATAGATAAAAAAAGAAAATTTATTATTTTCCATTTATTATTCTTATCAAAGATGTTTTAAGTTCCAGAAAATCATTGATAATAGTAGAACAATATCTATAGTACATTGTAACATGTTTTTTATATGTATTTTCAATTATGCGAGAAATAAATGTTTAGTTTTTATCGCATTGATCAACTAAATACATCTTAACCTGTGTCAACTGAAAAAAATTCACTTGATATTGTTCTTTTATTTGCATAGTCTTGCTTCGAGAGTCTTCTTTCTCTGTAAGAATATTGAAGTAAAATTTACAAACTTTATTAATGTATAAAAATGTTAAAACATGTCTTTTTTCCCTTTCTGTTCTACCGTCTTTCATGATACTACTAGCCCTATACTATAATTATTTTATATTTGTCGAAAAGATGTATGCATAGTACAAATGGTATGTCGTAAACCGATAATAAAAAAGCCTATAATAACCGAGAGAAAAAAATACATAATCGAGCACAGATGTAAAAATAGACTGATGAAATATATGATGATCATATAAGTTAAATATTGTTACATATTCTATGAAATTCTAATGCATTTTCAAAACATTCAACATCTTTTCGGTAACTTTTTGCTAAAATATTTTTTTCTCAGAAGTTAAACAGAGTCGCAATTACGTATGTAAATAATGACTTTCTCTTATTCTTTTTGTTTTATACCTTATTTTTCTTTTTTTTTAACATTTGAAAAAATTATGTTGTTGCTATGAAGCAGAAAAAGGTTTTAATAAGTAAAAATAACTTCTTTTTCTTTTTCTTATTGGTATATTATATAAAGGAACTTGTCACTCAACTTTTATATAATTGTTACTGAAAACTGAAAACAGAACTCATACATTCACATATCACATTTTTCATATCAATAAACACTCGACTACTTAGAATTTCTGCTCATGATTATCATTGTGATTAGGTATACAATTTGATTATTATTAGTAATGACATATTTCATGTTTACTTTTTATATTCACATTATAATAACTTGATAGGTAATTTTTAATCAAATCCATGTGCTTTAGACTATCAAAAATCATTTCATTTTTTTATTTTCATGACAAATATGAGTTTAGAGCAGTTGTATTTTTTAAGATTTCTTCTCGATAGTAATAGCTAGGTAGAATCTGAAAAAAACATTTGAGTAACTAAAAGAGTTCTCTATCCAAGTTGATAGGCCTAAAAAATCTAATAAAACTGTTTGAGGAAAGATGTATGTAAAACTAAGACCTCTCCAAGATTAGTTTTCTGACATTCATTTGAAACTTTCTCGAAATAGTTTTACTTGATGGAGAAAAATGAAATGTCTCGCGTCTCTACATGATCTTCCTTCATCGAACTGCATTTAATTTATAGAGAATGTCAAAGTGTTAAACATATCGAAAGCAGAAGAAGAATTCTTCTTGAGTCTTCTATAAATTAAATGCAGTTCGATGAAGGAGGATCGTGGAAAGAGCCGAAAAATCTTATTTTACTCTATATACGGAGCCCTTTTAGCCAGAGATGGAACCGGTCTACCAGTAAAAACCGGTGCGACCAGTCCAAATCGGACCGACCGGTCCAAACCGGTTTACCGGCGAAAATCGGTTTACCGACCAAAACCGATTTACCGAAAAAAGTTGATCTGACGGGTCTACCGGCCAAAACTAGCCTACCGGTACTAAACAGGATGCTGATGATACGTCAGTTTATAAGAGAAAATCCGACCTACCGACAAAATATCGATCTACAGACAACAGACTGAGACTTGAAATGAAATCTTGTTTCATAGTGAACTCTCTTGCGGGCTACCCTCGTAGTTTCACACATACTGGTGTAATGTTTCACCGTTGACAACAATAGTCTCACTGATAGACATTCTGAAAACTGTTTTTTAAATAAATTTCTGTGTGACCAGTGGAACTAATGCCTGTCCAAAAATATAGTGGCTGTGAGCATTTTTGAAATAACTCAAGAACGGAATGAGCTAGAGAGCTGCGGTTTTCATCAATTGAAAGAGGGAAATTCGGAACGTCTTCTTCTTCAATAAAGTGTAAGATGAAATCCTTTTAAAACTAGACATTTTCGAAAAACATACAAAAGAATGTATGAAAATGACCTTCCATGTAGATGAAATTTTGATTTTGACCTTTGATTCAGAGAGAGGGACTTGAGATCTATAGTTAAAGATGGAATACGCTTTCTTACTTTTCATTACATTTTCGTCGAAATGTTATGGTATTATGACAAGAAGTCGAAAACTTGGTAAAAAAATCAGCAAAATTCCCACTTATTTGTGCATGTAAATACAGGATTCCATTTGCTCAACATTAGAATGTAAGAAGAGAACCATTTATATTGTATCTTCAACTATAGATCTCAAGTTCCTCTATCTGAATCAAACGTCAAAATCAAAATTTCATCTACATGGAAGGTCACTTCCATACATTCTTTTGTATGTTTTTCGAAAATAGTTAGTTTCAAAAGGATTTCGTGTTATACTTTATTGCAGAAGAAGACGTCCCGAATTTCCCTCTTTCAATTGCTGAAAACTGCAGCTCTCTAGCTCGTTCCGTTCTTGAGTTATTTCAAAAATACTCACGGCCACTATATTTTTGGACAGGCATTAGTCTTGGTGCCAGTTGGTTTTTCATATGAATACCATCGTAGAGCAGGAAAGTGAAAAATATAGACCGGTATAAGGCGGTTTCGACCGGTCAGACCGGTCGATTCAAAACCCAGACCGGTATCGGTTCCATCTCTGCTTTGAGCTATTCAAATTCTGTTTTCAGATTGTTCCTAGCTATTATCATTGAGAAAAAAAACTTAAAAGCGCAACAGCTCTAAACTTTTGTCTGTCGCTATACAGCATAAAAAAAACTAGAATTTATGTCGAAAAATTCGTTGTGTTAACAATATTCAGGTACGGTATTTATATGTGATAATAACTATCAATAATAAATAATAGATGCTATAAAAACTCTGCATTAGTTTTATTTTCAGTAGAGCATAACAGCCACTTGTTGTTGAAACTCGAGAGTTTTCTGGTTAGAAAGAGCAAAGTTTCTGTTATTTACCGAAATTCGAATAGTTTAAAGAACATGTTTGACTGAAAAATTTCTTTGCGTGCCTCTGAAATTTGCAAGAAAACCTCGATCTACTCTAAGGCTAGTTTCATCTAAACATATTCATTCGTACCAATGGTGAATTTTCCAGTCTTTTTTCGTCCATTCACTGTTAACGGTGTGAATATGTGAAGAGGGTATCTAAACTTATGCCCACGTTAGATATCATCAGATACAATTTTTTTTTGAAACACAAACCTGATCAATTCTGCCTCAGGAACGAACCTGACGAGCTCTAATCCATACAAAAAAAAAATATTAAGTACAGATACATGTTGGTTGATAATCGCAGTGGTATCACACGCTGCAAACTGTTTGAGATTTTTTCTTGCGTAATTTTGGTTTCTTTTCAGAATTTTATTGAACGTTGTGGATGGAAAATCAAGTTTTTAATAAAACTCTTTCCTATGGAACTTGTGATTTTGTAATTCAAATATATCGATATAATTGGAAAGGTCGTGTTACATTAGCTATGCTCACATATAACGTGCCTAAAAAAACCTCAAGGATCTGGTACATGACAAACCGATATAATGTAACTTTTCATCATTGATATTATGTGAAGCTGCAAGACACTTTTCAGTCTTCGGTGAATATTTTAAATCAAATATTTGTACACAACTTCATAATAGAAACTTTACTCTTTCTAACAAGAAAACTATTAAGTCTTAACGACATGTTGTTCTTACGCTATATTAAAAACAAAATTAATTCAGAACTTTTGCACTACTTGTTATATAATAGCAATCTATTCATAAAAGCTGTGTACAAGTACAGATGAACATCAAGAACACGATCGAATTATGAATAGTTATTTTCATATGATAATTTATCTTAAATAAACCACGATTAAAATTGCAATAGTATATGAATATTTTAGATTTATATCAAATCTAACTGTAATTTGTCATTTTTTTTTCTTCCACTTCTATCAAAAACAAGCTTTTTCGACTCTTCAAAAATAAATCAAAGAAAAATTTACCTGTACGTAATAGGAAAAAGGGAGGAAGAAAGCGATGCTAATATTTACTTTGCTTTACGTTAAGCTTTAGTGACAGCTTCATAAGAGTGGATTTATTTAGTAATAACATTTTTTTTGCTAAGGTTCATGAGCGAGCTTTCTCTTCAATAAAGGAAATACAATTTTCTTAACTTAATTAATATGTCTGAAGTATATTAACAGACACATCAATCAAACATAAAAGTTTTAAAAAGTATGTTTTTTTTAAACCTCATCTTTACATACATTACTTTTTTTCAAGTTTGCTTAAGTCATCACTGGGTTATACAGGCTAGTTTGAAATATTTCAAATTTTTTTACGCACCAATTTAAGGCAGCAGTGCATGCAAATCGTTAATGCATATATACGAAGAAAAGTTTTCAATGTTTTTAGTAAAAAATGCAAAATCATCAATGATTCTTATCCTTACAAATACTCGTATACATTTTTCTTGTATGTTCGTATAAGATATGTAGCTTGTGTCTAACGGGAATATATTTTTCTCATTTCTATTCATTTCCATTTCGTCCAAAAGTCGGAAAGGGCTGATATTAAACATTTGATTATCGAAAAATCTTTTTATTACTCTTAGTTTGATATACGTTATGGATAGGTTTACATAACAGCTTTTAGTTTTTATGTGGCTAATCAGTTTTATTTACAATCATGAATTTTAATTTTCACGTCATATTATATTGTGTAAAGTGTCTTGCTGTGAGAAACTACTGTATTGTAGTAATACTTTCTCTCAAATGTAAAAAGAGAAACAAAAATACAAATTCCGAAAGCCATTCGACTAGAGTTGTAAGTCAAGCGACAGAGTCAATGTTACTCGAACAAAAACAAATATTGACTAGGGTCCTGAAAATTCTTCGATCTCTCAAATCATTTTTTCGTCTACTTTTCTATCATTCTGTTTTCTAGTTTTACTTTCCTTGCTTTTCCTTATCTGGAAAGTTTAAGAATTTAGAAAGTTTTTAATAACTCTTACAAAAGTTTCAGCCATCATCAGTGCCGCTACAGAATAAAAAAAAAGAACTAAAAGTGCTAAATAATTTATGTATTATTTTTAAGGTCTACTAACTACTACGCTATTAAAGGAATGCAGAGAATATTGTACTTTAACAATTCAAAACGTAGTAATAAAATCAGCCAACGTCGGTAATCTATGCATCAGTGAACAACTCTTTTTATCATAGGTTCGCTAAATGTTTACATACTTTTTAAGGCTCTAAGAATATTTGAGTTCTTTTTACTCTTATTATTAAACATTCCATCCAATAAAACATTTCACTTAAGAGGCGCAGCAATTGCAGAATGCCTACCAAGCAGAATTCAGAATTTTGTGGACTTATATATTTTTTTAACGATTTGATTATAATATTCTTTTCTGGTCTGTTTGATTTCTGCTTAGAATTTTGTAGAATTCTGTATCATCAGAGATGACGTCTCCCGTTTCGGTCTGTTTAAATTCTGCTGAGAATTCTGTATGATCAAAAACAGAATTCTGTAGAATTATCTGTCACTAAAGACAGCATATTTATTTCTTGTCTGTTTGAATTCTGCTTAGAATTTCGTAGAATTCTGTATTATCAGAGATGGAGAGTATGATAAAGAAAAGTTTATTGAGAACAAAAAAGTGAATAGTGATTCATAGCCTATTTTACATTGGTGAAATAAAAGTGAAAAAACTTTGACTATCTATTCTACCGACGTAGACTTAGTTACGAATCAATGTCTAATAATTGTATTTCATTCTAATTTTTCATATTCGACTGTTGTATTTATTTATCATACTTAGCGATGCATGATAGTCATGTCTACTATTGTCGAAATTCAACAAAGAAACCTGAAAGTCTTTAAAAATTAAGTCTTTGAATAAAAGAAATTTTATTTTCTTTTGTTTGAAGGTTTCGAAAAACATATGTAATATCCTTAAGTCTTATCATAAAATCGATAAACTTTAGTGAATAAGATATAGATTCATCAAACAATAAATTTGGCGAAAACTGCATTTTTATCTTAAGTATATCGCCATGAAAACTGTCAATATTAGAAAAAGTTATACATGAAATAATAACATGTGTAAGAAGTAAGAATCAATCAATATTTTCTAAAAAAGAATGTGATTATGTGTTTCAACAAAGTGTTTGATCAAACAGCGAACTTAAGTACCTTTTTATCTGTAGGTGATACAAAGTTTACAATGACAGCTACCAGTATACTTATATAATAAGAAAAAAAACTGTTACAAATTTCTTTTTTCTTACTGATCAATATAATATGAAGACTGTTGTATGGTTTTCAATTACTTTTATAATGAGTTTTTCTTTTTCTTTCAGTTTGAATAAAAGAAGAAAAAGAAAAATTTATTTCACGACTAGTTTCCTTGTTCATTCGTTTTATTTTTATTACAAAAAACGGAAGTTTCGTCGTGAGACAATCGATTGAATTATTGTTAATAATTTTTTTTTCACAAGTAGAATAACTAATTATGATCAATTAAATAGAAAGAAAGATTTTCTTATCTCGTTTTTCTTCTTCTCAAAAAAAAAATGTCATAAAACGTTAGTTGGTCTTAGTTCAAATTTTATCAGTTTGAATCAATAAATACTATCGTCATATAATTCGAGTAATATAACATACGATCTATTTCTAATTTATCTTGATCAAATATATTTATTAATTATTTACAAAAATAAATAATGACTTTATTCTAGAATGAATAAAAAAAATAAATCTTATTCTTAAATAATAATATAATGTTATACGTATTACTCAAGAATAAATTATCATCACATAAAAGTACTATTTTATTTTATGTTGTTATCAGTTTATGTTTTTTATATATTAGTTTTAATTCATATAAAAATGATACTGTACAAAGAATAAATCTACAAAAAAACGATCCAACTATAACTGCTATGATCGAACCCTATACTTATTCATTAATTAATGAGAATAATACAAGCATAACATCTGTATACTATCGTCATGCAATATCACGTCGAAATTCATCATATCCATTTATTAGTGGTGATACATTTCGTGCATTCGCTGATTATATATTTGATGAAACAAGACAAGATAATTTAGAATCTGTCAAATATGGTGATATTGTTTTTGTTAAAGCTGATATGCTAAAGAAATTTTTTCTTTATTCATATTCAGCAATAAAAAATCCATTTATTCTTGTTTCTCATAACAGTGATGCTTCTGCACCACTTGAATATGAAAATAAATTAAGAGACAAACAAATAATTGTTTGGTATGCTTCAAATCCAAGTATAAGAAATCATTCAAAATTATTTCCTATTCCTATCGGACTAGCTAATACACGTTGGCCAGCAGGTAATCTTAATAAATTGAAATATGCATTTGAAAATTATCGAAAACCTTGGTCGAATCGTACAACTTTATTATATGTTAATTTTGATATTACAACAAATAAAAAAGAACGTCAAGCTGCACTTTCACAAGCAAAAAAATTTCAAAATGTTCAAATTATACAAAAAAGAATTTCATTTGAAACTTATTTAGAACAAATTGGTAATACAAAATTTGTTTTATCACCATCAGGTGGTGGACTTGACTGTCATCGAACATGGGAAGCATTAATGATGGGTGCTGCACCAGTTGTTCTTTCATCTGGACTTGATTCATTATTCAATAATACATCAACAATTATCATAAGAAAATGGTCAGATTTAACAGAAAATTTTTTATTATCATACAATTTTTCTTCGTATGACAAAGTAACATATTCGGTCTTATTTGCTCGATATTGGCGTGAAAGACTTTTAAAACATCGTCATAGATAGTGTAAGTATTTTTGATAGATTCATGAAGAGAATAATTGTTTATTTGTTTTTATATGTTGTTTCAATTATTGCAAAAAAAAAGTAAATGATTATTATGTGATTGTTATGACATACATAATAGTTTGAGTTATGATATTTAATTCAAAAAATAATAGAATTCATTTTAGGCAATACGAAAAAATTATAAGTGAAAATCTATCGATTGACTTACTATTGTCATAAATATTAATTGCAAATTTTAGTTGTCACTATTCGAACAAAAAATAGATAGTAAAGTTTAAAATTGTTGATTCTGACTATTATTTTTCATTTGGAAAGTTGTTGAAACTGAGATAATAAAAAGAAAACTTTCAAAACTTTCCACTTCCGTTGCTAGTCTAGGAATCGGCTTAGATTTCTTAAAGAAAAACAGCTTTGGAAAAGATGAAGTTAAGAAAAGAATATTATTTACGATTGAATTATGTTTTTCATCTTCTATATGACATTTTGTATGATTTACGATGAAATAAATGATTTTACAGAATCAGAAAAATAATCTATTATATATATATAAATATGCATGCAATTGAGATGCGTAAAGGAAGATGAGTCTTTTTGTCGACTACTCATTTATAAATCTATTTCTCTAACAATATTCGTATTCAAAACTACAAACAATTCATATATATCTGTGAAATCGGGGAATACGTTCTGCTTTTTGTTTCTTTCATCTTGACTTCTCATGATAAAGAAAGCAGACAATAAATTTAAAACTACTTCCATTAAGTGCTTTTTTTCAATAATGATGAAAAGAAAACCAATTTATGTTGCTCACAATTATGTTAATGATCTATACTCAAATGCATGCATGGTCTTGTGAAGTCACCAACTATATATATTATGGATGATGTCATGAGGGTGTGGGTGACCAATTTATGATTAAATTATAATTCTACATAACCAATCTAGTCCATAGAGATTTTGTAATAAGTTGATCTAATCTCACATGTTTATCAGTAAAAAAAAAATGGTTTTTTTCTTCATTTTACGAAAGAAATGATGATTAGCTTATGTTCTCAGTGTCTGTGTATCTTACGATTAACAATAATTAAAGAATCCGGACAACATCAAATATCGTACAAGTCTTCTAAACATTGAAAAAAAATAGTCTTTAAGCAACTGTTTTCCAGGATTGACAATATTTGAGTTCGAACAGAATAGAGAGTAGTCAATTGCATTGTTTAGCTATAAATCAAGCGAATATTTTACTTATTCATATGATAAAAAAATAAAAAAAGATAACCTACAATAAAGAAATCAGTATATAATTGTTACTTGTTGATATAAATTATAGAAATTTCGAAAACGCAATTTCATTCATTTCTTATGTAGCATTTATTTTTGAGAATTGTTCTATCAAGTAAACGAAAACTATCAAGTCAATAGCCAAGTAACATGACATAGAAAAATAAAGAAAAAAGAAAAAATCTACATCACTTAGAGTAAATTTCACAAGTGATTGTTACGAAAAGAAAAAGATCAGCACTATTCTATGTTTCTATTTTCATCATTGGATGAATTTTCGTCAGCTTTACAGTGCCTTAAGGATATCCTACTCCTCATTTTTGATGATTTCTTGTTCTCGAAGAGGTTATCACAGATCCACATCAATTTTGCAAGCAATACTTGCATTAGTGTGATTCTCATGAGCACATTATTGCATCTTAGTTTTCCAAATGTATTTACTTTTAATGTCAAAAAGTAATAATAAGATATCAAATAATAATGAATCACGCATGTTGTGCAAAAAATGATTATTTTTTCTTGTTTTAATCAATCTTTTAAGGATCAAGAACACAAAAATCATGGAAAAAGAATCAAAATTGCAATTTCTACTCTTCAATTATTTTACTATGTAA